CACCTGAGAGCCTCTGCGCACAAAGGCTCCGCGGGAGCCGGGCGGGACGAGGCCGCACGCGCCGAGCACGCGACAATGATGCACATTTTAAAATAAAAGAATGATGCACATTTTAATAAAGCACAGCATAAACTGTTCTTTCCACTCAGGGCTGGCCGTGTAAGTCTGTCCGTCGGTATCAGGCCCACCAAGCTTCGCTCCATCCAAGAACAACTTCCCTTGGGCTGCCTCCTCCCTCGGCACCTGCCCTTCCGGGTTGCCTCCCCCCCACACTCTCCCCCCATTTCATGCTGGTCTGGGCCCCTTCTGGCGCAGACTTTTTTTTCTCAGGGCCTGCAGTTGTCCACCTCCCTTTCCCAGGGATCGGTTCACCAGTGAAATTCACGTAACTGTGCTGGGTACTGGTGACCCACGGGAGTTTAGGATTGGAGCAAAGGAGGGAAAGGTGGGCATATTTAGACAAGAGATCCACACCAGGCCCATGCCGGAATCTGGTTCTGCTACCTGCTGTTTTGTGATCCTGGGCACTTCTGGCTTTGTTGGAAGGATAATGGGCTGCCTTGGTCCATTTTGTGCTTTGGTTTCTTTTCTCTCTTCCTTTCTTTGGTTTTATCGGTTTGGTTTGGTTTTTCTTTGAGGCAAGGTCTCACTGTGTAGCTCAGGCTGTCAGCCTCCCGAGTGCTAGGATTATAGGTGTGTGTCACCAGGCCCAGATTTCTTAACTTCCTACTTTATAGGTGAAGAACCTAAGGCTTGAAAGATTTGCCTAGAGTCACCTAAACAATAGGTAATGTTGGCATATTCCTGAAGGTCTAGACTCAACACCTGTATATCGGTCCATGGGAAGCGCCCATAACAAAAACCCTGCCCTAAGTGGTAGAATTTAACATGAACAAGTATCTTCCACATTCCAATTCAGCTTTAATCAGTCTATATTATTCCTATGTTGGAAAAAAAAAATGTAATCCAAAGGACAGGATCAGTCTACTGTCTCTAGAGGTCTAAGTACAACTGACTTAGTACCTCTCCCCTAGGTCACCAGAAAGGGACAGCTTTCTTGATTTCCACTCGAAATGCTCTTCTTCCACCTGTGACCCCAGCACTTTGGAGACAGTTAGCAGGATTGCCGCGAATTCAAGGCCAGCCTGAATTACGTAGTGAGACTGTCACAAAATAATTATAATAATAATAAATAAATAAAAGCTCTTCCAGGCAATCCCAAAATACTGATCTCCACTATGGAACCTGCCAGCCTCGAACTTCTGATTCCTTTCCATTCCTTTTTGTCTTCTTTTTTTCCCCTCCTCTTCTCAATCCTTCCTTCCTTTAGAAAATCTACTGCCACCTCCCACATGCTTGGTTTGTGAGTGATATAAAGATTCCAGACCTGGCCCGTGGGCAGGATAGACCCGACCCGTAGGCTGGTTTGCTCTGCAATGTCCATGAGCAAGGAGGAAGAGCCTTCTGGGCGGAGGGAACACTGTGGGCAGGGCCCAGAGTCCGGAAGGTGAAAGGTGAGTTCAAAGAATTTAGTTGGGTTCTACCAACACCTTCCTAGAGCGTGCCGCTTCCTGAGAGCCCATTCCTAAAGCCCGTATCCAGGGGTGGGTTAACAGAGACAAAGCTGGATGCAGAAGGCCTTCAAATACCAGGCTGAGGGGTTTAAACTTTGTTTTATAGCACAACAGGGAGTATGATAGGCTTGACCTGGGTCACTTCACTTGCCTGCTTCTCTTTTACTCTTCCATCCTATTTTCTGTTTCTTTTTCCTTTTTCCACAGACCTAATCTCCAGTCCCGAGTTCAAGTTCTGTCTTTGTTGCTTACTGACTGTACAACCTTTGGCTAATTCCTAAGCCTTCCCTGAGCATCTATTTCCAGAGCTGAAAATGGAGCTCATGACACTGGGAGGTTTCCGTAAGGTCCTGTCTGCACAGTACCAGGCAGGAAGCCTCTGCCCAGCCACCACTTGAGGGAGAGGCCTCAACTGCTGTTTTCCGACCTTTGGCTTCAAGGGGCAGCAGAGAGCCAGACAGCCAGGACTCAGTCCCCTGGGGCTGGGCAATAGCCCTGCAGGAACCTGGGAAACCCTCTTATCTGGCTCTTGCCAATTTTCCTGCAGTTCTGCTCAGAGGCCTATGAATTTGGGGTTGAGGGTTTCCAGAAGAATCCCTGGGTGGGAAAGGAGGAGCTGCCCCTTCATCCTTTAGGGCATACTGTCCTCAGACCCTGGTGCCAGACCTCCAGGTCCCAGCCTTATTCTCCGGGCCCACACAATGGAGAACCCAGAAAAAGGGCTTGTTCAAATCACTGCCTTTTCTGCCTTCTTTTTCAGATACCTTATTAGGTGGCCCCTCCCTAAGGGACCCCCTTTTTAGAAGGAGGGGGCGAAGTACAGATGGACCCCCCAGGTTACCATGGAGACAGCAGGGAAAGGGTTGCTCTATTGCCACGGCAACAATTGACGTCAGCACTACCCTTTCCCATCGCTTGATATGAGAGGGGGGCAGCCACCCCAACCACAAGCAAATCCCCCACAAAGCCTCCTCCCCCTACTGAGCCAATCAACCATGGGGTCGACAGGCTTAATATAGCACAGGAGTTAAAAGCAGATTCTGATGTCAGTCAAACCTCAGTTCAAATCCTCGCTCTGCCTCACCGTCACTGTGTGAATTTGAGCAAGTTCCTTAACCCCTTGAAGGCTCACAGGTACAGTGGGGACAAGTGAGCCACCAAGAGCTGTGGTGAGGATTGCACAGGATCATGCGGCTAATAGGCTCTGGGACTGGTCCACAGGAAGTTCATACTTCCTGACTGACTGACATCAGCTTACCATCTTAGGACCTGTCAGGGAGTTGGGACCCGTCAGATGCAGATTCACAGTACCTAGAGGAGCCAGGATTTCTAAGGACCGAGCCCCAGGATTTAAGCATCTGAGGATTGGGATTTTGGGGTGGAGCCAGAGACAGTGGAATTTCCAGGCTTTGATGAAATCCTAAATGCCACTTTCTCGGAAGCCCCATCACATCCGGGCTCTGACCCAACTTCCTCCTCCCCTTCCTCTGCCTTGCACTAGCCCATCTCAGTTTCCTTCATCCTCAGAGCCTATCTGGTCCTCTAGGAAAAGGATGGATGAGAGACCACAGTGGGACATCAGATAAACCCACACCAGGTAGGAGAGGAGTTAGGCACCAAAGAGAGACAGGTGTCCTGGCTCCACTGCTATCTCCCCTCCTACCCTTGGGGCAGGAGGACCAGAGTCATTCACATTTCCTCTCTTTCCCAACCTCCAGTCCACACCACAGTTCACTGTACCCCAATTCTATCCCACTCACTTGAGTGAGGCCCTTTCCCCAGCCATCAGCATCCTCCAGAAACCCCCAGACCCATCTCCCTGCTTCCTTCCTCCAGTCCACAGAAACCATGGTCACCAGTGGCTTTACATCGCCTCTCCAGCCACAGTGGCTACCACTCAGCTCCTCCCAAAGCATCCTTCCCATCTTTAGGTGTCTGGCCGGAATTGCTTCCCTCAGAACCCCACTTACCTTTCCAGGCATCTGTCACTTGTCATAAGGCTCCCCTGACCACCACCATCCCCTCCCATAGCACCTGCTTGTCCCACACGTTGGCGCTCCATGTTTAATGCTTATCTATGAATTAAGTGCAAGAGCTGTGTAATATTCACGCTGACATTCCCAGTGCCCATTACAGGAGGGCTCACGAGTCTGCAGATTTGCTTGAGGATGACTGCTTCACAAATCCATGGAGGTGAGGTCTTAGTGCTGCAGTTGCACTAGCAAAGCTACCTGGCCTGGTCAGGGATGGAGCATGGCTCTCAGAAGGAACTAACTTGACACCTGAACTGAAGGATAAGAAGTTATTCAGGCAAAGACAAGGGAGAAATGTCCTGGCACTGGGATTAGTACGTTGTGTGTGTGACACCTTGGTGCTGAGATGCTGTACTCATGCTTTGGAAGAACAACCCTGGTTTCCCTGTAGGGACATGTCACATATGGGGATCTAGGGTGGCTATAGGGAGATGGTCAGGAGGCCAGTGCAGCCTCCAAGGTGCAAGGTGATGGAGCCTTTGACCAGGTGTGGGTAATGATTTTTTTTTTTTTTTTTTTTG